ACACACACACACACACACACACACACACACACACACACACACACACACACACACAAAACGTCTTATTTCTCCAGATACAAATATGAACAGCCATTTAATTAGATATACCTGTGAGGACATTTTCACTAAACAGATCACTCTGTAAAGAAGTATAAAAAATATCCACTGTACAAGTTTAAAATGTAATCTCTCTTATTGTGGATGTGAAGGTTGCAAAATGAAAGCAAATCAAATAAACATTATTGTTACTCTAGCACACCTAATACTATATAATGCTATACTGAGGCCTGTGATTAAGGAAATGTTTCAAGATGTTCTTGTTAGTTTGAGTGTTCAATTCTCAGAGATGGCACTGCATCTAATCTAATGCAGTCTGAAATAAATCATTCTTTATGGGCAGAGTTTTATGTTTTTATAATGTCAGTGGAGGAATACAAATTGATAAATTAGTGAAGTGAAAAGTTCATTTAACTAGGGACCTAGATTAAAGTCACAGATATTTCACTACTAGCAGTGCGACCTTGAGCAGACAATATAACCTTTCTGTGCTAAGTTTCCTTTTCTATAAAAGAAAGGGGGGTGTCATTTATCTCTAAGATGCCTTTAGGTTCTAAGTCTATGGTCGTATGATTAGAATTTTTTTTTTTTTACTGCAAAAAAAAGCTAGCAGTAATGGCAGAACAAAAATACTGCACCATGTTTTAAATTTTTGAAAATTTCTGTAAACGCCAATTTTTGGACTCACTTTTTTTAAAGGAAAAAAATAACCATTTTCAATAGCAATCAAGCAACCTCTGTGATTTGCATGCTATAGTCTTTTCTATCAATTCATAAAATTCTTTATCCAGAAAGTTTAGGGATCCTTCATTTTAGTGATGAGGAAATTAAGCCATATGTTTACATCACACAGCTAGCTAGTGTTACAGTCAGAATTAGAATGATGTTTTTTTTTTTTTTACTTCCCATTCTAATCCTCTTTTAATTTATATCAAGTTGTTTTGGTGACAATACTTTGATTTATCAGATAGTCCCTTAGTCTTTTGTTATGAATGACCCTAAACTATTATAGACAGAAAAAGGAAAGAAGTGAAGGAGAAAGAGAATAACATGTGCATTATAATTTACAATTTAAAATATATTTTCTTATTCATGGAAGTATCATTGTCTCCATTTTACAGAAGAAATAAACTCAGAGAGATTAAGTGAATTGTCTGAGGTTAAATAGTTAGCAAATATCAGACCCCAGATTTGAACTTGTGTGTGATCTGAAATACACCGCCTTTTAAAAATGGCAACAAGAAACAGCTGATTGTAAAGAATTATAATAAAAGGATTATAACAAAATGAAGGCAATGTGAGATTCTGCAATACCTAAAAAATGCATGTTCAGACAACAGAGCTGAGACCACAGAGCTGCCTAAAAATGTTTGATAATTCCATTCAAATTCAATAAATATTATATTACTAGTGTATGACAGCATTTCATACGTAAAACTCCTTAATTGGCATAAGAGCATAAATTAGTGCTACTCAAATTTTGTATAAGGGGACCACTGAATTTGGATGTAAGCTCCACAAATTACAACTCCATAAATCCCACTCCTGTGCAAAGTACAGTTTTGATTCCTCATCGTGACGTGAACGTGAACCTGGGTTGTCAAAGGTTTCACCCACAGAGCAAAAGCTCTGACAACTTCTATCAGACTGGAAAGACTTTGAGAACACTCTTCCTGATGAGATGCATTCTGTTCTCCATGGACTAACCCAGTTAAGTACAGAGAGGCTCATCTCCATTACAAATATGATTGGCTACTGGCGGATTATTCTTTGGTCATGGAAACTTATTTTTTTCTTTTCTTTTTTTTTTAAATAGCGATTAGAATCTATAAACATTGCCTAGAGCAGTGGTATCAAACTCAAATAGAAGCAGGGGCTGCTAAACTGTGCATAACTATCCTTGCAGGCCACCTGTTGACTTGGAAAACCATACATGTTCATATACACACATGCATATATATATATATATATTTATATACACACATGTAGGTACATTTTTATTACTATGTTAACATATTAACATCAGATAGGAATTCCATTTAATCTGGTTTGGGTCACACTTGTCAGTGTTGTGATCTGTATGTAGCCCATAGACCATGTATTTGACACCTCTGATTTAGAATACTTAACTCTTGGTACTCTAAATATGAGATCTTTGTCCAGTCACCAACAAACTGACAAATTACTGGAAGAACTGAAGCATATAAGTATTGATATTTTTATAAGTGGACAAAAGTAAGTTACAGTTAAGTTAAAGGATGGCTCACAGGTTCTTCTCGAAAAAGCATAAAAGGGAAATTCTAGAGTTGATTTCATCATGTGCCCAAAGGGCAACAAGAAACAGCAATTTCATGATATAACTGGTCATCTTGTCTCAGAGTAATCATAACAAATATGAGCAAAAAAGAATGATGAGAAAGATAACCGAATATTATTTGTCAACTTCTGCTGCAGAGGATGAAGAGGGAAGAGAAATTTTATAAGATTCTATAAACCATGTTAACAGGTACTTTGATACTCAGTAATTTTAATGAAGAGGCAGGCAAAGGACAACAAAATGTTGGCAAAAATGGCCTGAGTATGAGAAAGAGACCAAAGGACTGTAGATTACTCAGAAGATTCATCCCTTTAGAAGAGAGTGCTGGACATAGTACTAAACCTCATCATAAGAAAAAAATGACCACTTAATCTTTTTTTTTTTGGTCTGTATAGTTGATTTCATTGCTGTTAGGAAAACCTGGCAAGGAAATTCCCTCTACCAATGCAGCTGACAAGTCATCTGTAACTTGCAGCCTTAGAGAGTTGCTTGGAGTACTGAGAGTTTAGGTAACTTATCATAGGTCACACAACCCATATACATGAAAGGTAGGAACTGAACAATACAAAGACAATGACTGGCTACAGATGATGGGAATCCTAACAGATTCCTCAAAGTGAAAATCAAGATGTAAGATGGAGAGGTAGCACCCCAGGAAGAACAGAAAGTAACAACTATCAGTGATTAATCCACTTAAGCAAAAGTACAACTGTATAAGCCTGAGAGGTATGCCCCTAGGAATAGAATGGGTAAATATTGGAAAGCCAAAGGCAGCCACATTTTACCCTCCTTAGGTCCAACCAGATGCAAATGCATACCCTTGCAGGTATCAGGGAATAAAAAATGGAACCAGAGAGACAAATGTGTTTGTGTGTGTGTTGGGGGTGGGGGTGGGGGTGGTGGTAAAGTTTTCTGTATTAAATTTCATTACTGAGCAGACCTTGAGGGTGGGAGGGACAGATTGATCACTTTAACAGGGCTGGGTGTAATACTTACCCAAGTGCTATCACTACTCTCATCACCCTGAAATAGAAGGTTTCAAACAATTTCAGCCTAACAATCCATTCTAGAAAAACAAAATGGATGAAAAATATCTATTGTCCAGACTATGACATACGCCTGCTTTCTGACCTTTATAAAATCCTAATGAAAATGAGCTATGTATGTTTTGAGGGTATCATTAACAACAATAAAGAAGGGAATACACAACCTTCTGTGAACATTCCTCTGCAGCAGACCATATCATATAGTTACACAAATAAGTAAAAAGTACAAAAAATGTAAGAGCCACAGATGTTTACTGTTTGTTAATTTTAGAAGACTCATTTGACTCAGGACAGCAAAAACTGAGCCTTAAAAGCTCTCTCTTTGAATGAGGAGTTCCTCATGCATATATTAAAATTGTATAAAATGTATAATATTCCTTGATAAGTACAACCACAGAGGCAATTTTGTTGGATGATTATCTGATTCTTAACAATAAGCAAGGCATAAAACAGGGATAGCTATGCAGAATATTCTTGCTAAGTTTCAAATGGAAGAGATTTCCCACAGGCAGTTTCTCTAGATGCTCCTAGGGATAATTTTGTGATGAATGAATCCAGTACCAGTATATTGCACTGGCTTCTCAATGAGATCTATGGTTTCTCAAAAGACCTCAACTATAACAATACCTATAAGAAACACAAAATAGATGCAAAATGCAGTTGGAAGACCAGTCCACTTAGTTGGTACATAGATATCTACATTTGTTCAAAAAGCACTTACAAATTATCCATTATATGAAAGCAACTATGCTGAGTGCTGGGGATTCAAAGACAGAAACATAATAATTCCTACCCTCAAAGAGCAAACATTCTATTGAACATATTGGTATCTCAGCTAGACACTGAAGATGGATTATGAGTTGGGCTCAGAGTTTACTGAGAGGAAGAGAATGTCCTGGATTGCATTTGAGAAATTATGTAGTCTTTAGCCATCTCAAGCTATTCCCCAGTTTTTAATCCAAATGTTCTCCAGTGCCACTGTGTGGGTACAAATAATTGAATGCTATAATTTCTGGACAGTGAAAACTGTAGTTTATCCAAAGAACAATGGAGAGACATGCAGGGGGCACAAGAAGGCAGCAGGCATATTTCTAATTATTATCTCAGGGCAAAAGAGTCATGTAAATGTTATCATTCAAAAACCTCTGATCTGAAAATATGGACCAAGTGAGAGATAAAAGGATAGCCCAAAATTTACACTGCAAAATGTAAAAAGACCTAGAGTAGAACAGAGATTTTTAACTGGAGGTCCATAAACTTGATTTAAAAAAATATATATTTTTGTAACTGTATTTTAATATAATTGGTTTCCTTTGTAACTCTATGCATTTTATTTTATACATTTAAAAACTTTATTCTGAGAAGGTTTATCACT